AGGAGTCTCGGTCAGCAGGTGGGTTTGGGATTCCAGACTTCCACTGCGCTGCCGGCAATGGTGCGGGGAAACATCTGGCCTGAAACAACACAGATGTCGGTTGGTTAAAGGCAGTCACACGCAAACATACACAGAGTTGGAGAGAGCACGCACGGGCAAGTCAGGCACGCTGCCTCCCCAACCAAACCACGATACAAACCCCGTCTTTTCTTTCCACATAGAATATCTGCATCACAAGAAATTCGGCTTGGCTGAATTTTAGATTCGCCGCAACAGTAGGAGATCTCCTATATAAAGAACTATCATGTTGTGAGCAAGGTTAATCTGTGACAGGGATATAAGCAGCAAAGCTCACAAAGTCACTTTTTGTAGTGATTTACAGGAAGGCTCTGACAGTTTTTAAGTAGGTAAAGTCTACACAAGTACCTGAGCTAGGAGGAGAACTGGGGTTGGACTAGATGATCTCCAGAGGTCCCTTCCAACCCTAACCATTCTGTGATTCTCTGGGAACACAGGAAGATGGGTCTCCTGTGGCTCTGTCTCTCAAGGCTGCATTACCCCAGCCAAATAAACCATGAGCTCTTCATAACACTAAGATTTATAGTGTCCCTCCTTCCCCAGCACGGATTCTCAGCTGCCTAATAATATAGGTGAGCTCATGTTGCAGCTCTCTTCCCATACTAAGGGCACTGATTGGGATCTCTCGCCTCTATCTGGCCACTTACTTTCTCAGGAGGGTTGTAGGAAAGTAATCCACAGCAGACATCTGTCAGCTCGTGGACAAGTTTCTGCGGGGAGACCGCTAGCTGACGGACAATACAATTTCGTAAGCCTCACTTTGTTAGAAAACAAGGCCACAAAGGAAACGTAAAATAAATCCTGGCTATCTTACAAGTATTTTACAGAAACTTTTTCAACAAGCATTACTTGTTAAAACTTCCTATAGGCATCTATGTAGAAATGACCCTTCTCCTCTAGTCTTCCACGGACCAGAGAGGCAGTACTTGCCTACCAGCTTCCAACTCCCTCCTAATTTTGCAGACACCCCTGTGCGTGTGCTGCTATTTGCACAGACAGGGTTTGTGCTCACAGAAACACTCGCATATCACAAAGCTGGTGCAGGACTGTGCCAGAAGATGGTGGCTGGTATTAAACCTGTGCATCCAAAATCCAGAAAAGATATTTTGAGAGCCTGACCCCGCTGTAGGAAAAGCTGCAGGGAAAAGGACCCTTTGCCTCTTAACACCATTTGCTTTTATTTTTCCGCTGCCCAAGATGGACACCACTTTGAAAACAAAGCCTCCTTACTGTAAGTGGCTGCTACTGTAGGCATTGCGTGTGAGCACGGGGGTTGTAGGCATGCTTCTCCCTCCGTGGGGCTGTGGTGGCCGGTCCAGGGTTCGGTAAGGACTGCTATGAGTTGAAAGTGGGTCCCTGTAATGAAGGAGACAACCCCAGTTAGGTTAAACGCTGTGCAAGTCCCAGCACACAGAATACGTGAACCCTAAACCTTGATGAAACAAAGCGAAGGGAAGAAAAAGGAGGTAAAGGTGTAACTGGATATGCTTCCCATATAAAAACCAGATCTGTTATACAGAAGAAAAATTCAACCCCTTCTTGTGGTTCAAGGGGGTAACATGGCAAGGGAGGTCCTCACAGGACCAGCAGGAAAAGCTGCTGCCAAAGTACAGAAGTATAAAGCAGAAGAGAGAGAACAGGTAACAGAGAAGCAAAGGAAACAAGTTTTAAAATGAAGCACATCACAGCTAAATGGTTACATATGGCTGTAATTCAACTTCTGAACCTCATGTGGAGGACTGCTCTGCTTATCTTGAGAGACAGCTGAGAAAAATGCAATGACATGACATTGCCTAAAACTTCAAAAATATTTCAGCTTGCTTTCAGCAGCCTGCTAGTGCGAGAGACAGTCCAAGAACGATCAAGATCAATGGGAATTCTTTACACAGAGAACAACCAGCACCAGATCAAACCCACAGAACACAACCACACAACCATCAGTAGAGCATGGACGTGCCCCATGGAACTCTTGTTCTAGCTCAGAAAGTGCCTGAATCCCACGGATGCATAAAGGAACCCCAGCCAGTCACTGCAGCTGGCACCAATGATGGTCGCTCGTTGAATCCCAGTGGCTCTGTTCTTACATGGAGAATTGCCCATCGGGACTTAGGCAAATTCTGTATGCTTTGACAATGTACCTGCTGAAATACTGATACCATCGGGAAGCTTTGGTGTTATCTGAAGCCATTAAGCACATCATCAGGAAAACTACAAGTTGTTTCATTAATACTGAAAACAAACCACGGAAATGCAGACAAAGGGTGACGGTACTGGTGGGCACAAGCAATTCCTTAAATACAGCCCTTGCTATTGAGTTTCTCACCTGTCTCAAACCTCTTCACAAAGACTACACTACCCTACAGTTTCGGAGACCGTGACAACTACTTATACATGCTTATCCACACTTTGGTTACTAAGCAGGAAATTTAGCTCCCATCACCACCTCCCGCAATGGCAGAGGAGCGTGGAGGCAGTGGGCTCCGCTGGAGTGCCCGTAGTAACAGGAGTCTCGGCAGGGGCAAAGTGGAGCTCACGCCAGCAAGGCGGAGAGCACGGTGGCAGCGAGACATGCCCTACCTGGAGTGTCTGGTTTCCAAGAGCTGCTCGTTTATGGATGACTTTCTGAGATGAATCCTCTCCACCCCGAGGGACTTTGGTGGAGGAAGCCTTGGAGAAAGCTGCGCAGAGCTGGGTCTCTGTGCTGGCACAGGAAGCGATTCACTCACTGTTGGAATGAAATATGTATTTTGTTAGCAAAATCCTCGATATTTTTGCCCTGTACACAAATCTGTGGCCCCGAAGCAGAAACACTTTGTACTACGGAAGCTGTGAGTCTAGAAAAGCTCTCCTGCCTGCACCGAGCTCTCCTCCACGCAGACAGGACACCACGGAGGCTCATACAGATCTCAGCAGCACCGGCTCCTACGGTTATTACACCCAGCTTGGGGCTGCGCCAGATCAAAGTGGAACTTCCTTGGGAAAACACCTGTTTGCAGTGCGATCCCTCCCAGAGCCGAGCAGGCAAGCTCAGCCTCCGCAAAAGCCAGTTCCTCTCCCTCACCTTCCAGCTCTTGACTTGAAAATGACATTTTAAGAATTAGTTTTGAAACCTAAAAGGGACTGACTTCAAAAGCGACTGAGTGAGCAAAGACAACTGACAGACAAATTTGGCTGAAGGCAACTGGGAAGACGCTGGTTTGATCCTTGTTCTCGCTTTGCTTAGGGCACAACCCAGGTCCCAGAGCCAAGAGGAAACTCCAACTAATGCATATAAATGCAGGACGAGCATCACAGAGAACACCTTCAGAAGCTAAAGCCCTGGCCCTGCTTCTACTTGTACAAGCAGGAATCGGGTGTAACTCAATTTTAAAGCACAAGTTGGGTCCTACAAGTCTAAAACTGGGACAAACTGAGATCAGAATCAGGCCCTAACTGAAAAGTGAGTAATAATTTAGATAATGTTTGTCCCCAGATGACGATTATCCAGTTTAAGGGAGAGGCAAGCCAAATCCTTTCCACCTTGTTGAACAGGGCGTGAATGTGTATCTGTGGGTGTGTGTGTGAAATGAGTAAGCTGAGCAAACACCATACCCATACAAGATGCAGGCTCACTAGGTAACATAAACGTAAACAGATCATTAATATTTGTGCCTATTCTACTATTCTAATAAGTTTTATAGTAGCTGTAAGGATAGAAGGGTCGGGGAAATCCTCCCAGCTGGTAACTCCTCCAGCCGCTCATCCGCCTCTGGCCAGGTCCTAGGGATGAAGTATTTGTTTGAAATTCAAAGCCTTCAGCTCACAGCTTGGTCATGTTAAAAACAATCACCTTCACTAAAGACAACTCAGATCAGCTCACAGAGCAGACCCTTTCAATAACTAACCCATTGTGAAGACAGACTTTCCCGATTAAGCTCTTTTCTTTTCCGCTATAAAGTAATCCATCATTGAAAGTCACCAAAGTAGCAGTAGGCTAAAGGACAACAAGTCAAAGGAAAGTCTCGGAACGGGCTCACTTCATAGGAAGAAAAGGATAAGCAACATACCATCATCGTAGGTGGTTGTGTCGGACAGGGAACTGCTCTCAGATGGAATTATATCATCTGTGAATGAAAACAAGTACTTTAAGCACAGGAGGCCCAACATTAATTTCCAAATATCACATACAGTTTTTCTACAGCTTCAGAAACAGCTGCTACTCGTAACACTGCAATCTGTGTGCTTTAGCCCTCAACAGCCTGAAGGCAGTCCTGCTTTGGAGTATATCATGACCTAGTTGTGCTCACTGCAATTCAGCTGCCTATGTAAAGGAGATTTTTTTTCAACTGCAGTGGGAATCAGGCCAAGATTTACAAAGGTGTTTTCCACCCAACTTCCAACAGATCTCTCAGGGTGTTTTGGTGCTTCAATAGGAGTCAGGAGCCTACAGAGACATGTAGATCTTGGCTGCTAGCACCTAATCTCCTCTAGGTACACCTGAAATCCCACCCAGGTAGGTATGAAACGCCTTTTGAAATTTGGCATTCACTTTTGAATGTTTCATCAGCATACAAATTCCGCTTCAATTATATTAATATCAATCCAGAATAATTCCACTGACTTCAATCAAGTTATTGCAAATTCCAACAACACAGAGAGAGGTAAATGTTGCACGGACATTGCAAATTTTTTCTGTTTCTTTTACATTTTCTTATTTATTCAAAGTGCTTCAGTGCACCTGCCTGTCCTCTCACCTTGATATTGCACACTACACTTGCTCAGAAACAGCCTGTCCTTGCTAAGGTTTAGAACAGACCAGCAGTGGCAGAGAAATCGGGCTGGTGATAAAAAGCAGCACAAGAGAATTAATCCAGAGAAAAATCTGTTCCTAGGCCATTTGTGGCAAGACGCAGCACTGGTGGGGTAAAAAGTCTACATGAAACTCCATATAAAAGGGAGAGAAAGCAACAAAAGATGGTGGTGGCAGCCACTTTGTGTATGACACCTGCTTCCTCCATCACTCATCATGAGCGTGTGCAGCGTACGTTGCTCCCTCGGTGTCGGTGTTGCGCTTTGCTGCGAGGAAAGGTCTGGTTACAAGAATTTGGTAAACAGAACAGCTTTTCAAGAACGGCAAAACATCGGGGCTGGCCCCGGCCCCGAGGGGATCTGTCAGACCACCGAGGATGGGTTGCAGCTCTGCCTGCAACCTGACACTGGGAAAAAGCTTCAGGGGAGCTTATTCACACACATTTGACCACATGGTGGTGAAATATGGAACTGGGCCCAGTGTGAGGAGGAAAAAAACCTACCGGGGGGGGTGGGGTGGGGGGAAGCCAGTCTAAAGCTATGCTGGTGGATTCCAGTGGGGTCTGCAATGTTGACGTAGCGGAGAGCTCTGAATTTAAATCCTAAATCTGTGCAATTCTCAGCAAAAGTGGAAGAAACCCTGGGCTACGGTGGAAGCCAAGGAAAGGGAAAGTGGAAAACGGGGAGCAGGAGGCAGTCCAGTATGTCCTTCACCTCCCATCTCCTGGGGGCTGGGATGAAAATAGCTATGGTTTGATTCAATAAATCAATATTACTATTTCACACATTATTTCCGACGACTCATTCCCCAGATTCACAGACGCAAGTGACTCATCACTGGCTCAGCCTTCTGAAACCTGCACCTTGAGCCCGAGAGTACCGCCAGCGACAGGGAAAAGGTTACACATAAAAATCAACCATTGAAGCAGATGACAGTTCTGCTTCAGGTGAACATATATACGTTGCAGTGCAAGTCAGGAATTGGAAGGGAATGCACCTGACTTTGCTGGCTAAGTATTTGCTGTTTTGCAGTGCCTACTTGCAGGGAGACCCTTCAAGACATGGAGTCTAGTCCCTTCTGGCTGCGTCCACCTTCCCAGACAGCAAACAAGGATGTCGCATATCAAATATTGCAAAACGATGGGCTAAATGTATAAGGATCAACTCCTAAGTTGCACAACAAGACAAAAAAATAATAAATGCCTGTAACAGAGCAGTGACTGTGCACGGATGCTGCCTCAACGGGGCTCTTGTGGCTTGGTGTCCTTCAGTAGCTTCCTGGTCGTTACTACACATCACGTGTTCCAGATAATACAGGGCCTCCCACAATAAGTAGCCAGATTGGTGAGCAAGGGACTGGAAAACCAGATGTTTTCCTCATCTCTGTCAATCAGGAACTAGGCTGGGCCACGTTAAGCAGCGATCCCCAACATTTCAGAATAAGCACTTTGTGACGATGGATAGCCCAGCGCTGCCGTGGTTTGTGGTGGGTAAGAAGCCAAACGAAGCTCTCAACGGGAACGGGACATGCCAAAGGTTTCCCCAAAAGAAACCTGGCAGTGCACAGGAGAAGGGTCTCCTCCAGGGAAAATACATGTTGGCAAAAGGTCTCATCTCCAGGGTCAGTAAGAGGGTATCAATATAAACAGCATAAAAACCTTGCATTTTCTTTCCCACCTTGTAATTCCCAGGAAAAACCCCACCAACCCCACAAAACAGCACATCCTCTGGAACAAAGGGGAAAAAAAGAAATCAATTAAACGTTAACAATTATCCATACATATTTTCCACAGACGGGAGAAGTAAAAGATGTCATAAAACTGTTAATCACTGTGGAAACTAGAAGAGCCTGCAATACCTATGAGCTTTTACGACTCCCAGACTCCTTCCGTTGGCTTGGACGCTAACAAGTTTCTATGTTTTATCCTACAAAGCAGCAAGAATCTCACCTCCTTTAAGAAAATGACGCTTTCAGAATGAAGAAGCCAAGGGCATCTGCTTTCACTGTGCTCATCACTGGCAAATGCCTTTAGTCAAAAATCTGTTTGCCACTAATTGCACTCAAACTCTTGAACTTTGCTTATGTTGTCCTGGAAATCAGTAATTTTTAACCAAGAAACGAAGTCTCTGATCCTTATTTCCTCAATCGTGTGGAAAAACTCACATGCTCTATTTTTTTTTTAGAACTGCAGTGTTGCAGAAGGAAAGGGCGAGAGATTTTGCCTGTGGCAGCTCAGATATACAACTGCACTCACTACACTAGGATTTAAGACACCACACCAGTTTCAGCTGAGATGCTCCTGCCAGCCTTTCTAAGTATAGCACCTTTGGTCTGTACCTGGTGCTGGAACGAGTCTCCACTTGTTCCTAAATCCGCAGCTTATTCTGCCCTCAGCCTATAAGCAGTGCACTTACCGTATCAGATGCAGCAATTGCATCTCTTTTTTTCTTACTTAACTGCCTTGGAGAAGATAAAAATCATATAGAGGAGATGTAAACAAAACTTGTAAGTGAGCCAAATTAATTTGCCCCCCGTTTTCATAAGAATACGGGGAATTCTCTTGTTTACCTGGTAGAGTGAGAGTTGATTTCTGGGTTGGTTTTTTGCCACACTTGATTCTATACTCATTTATGGAATTTTCTATCTCTTGCAGCTTTTTTACAGCATCGGTATACTCTTGCTTTCTTTTCTTCTTCACATTTTTGCAGAGGTCTGGCTCACCAGCAAGTTTCTTTGCTGCTTCCACCAGCTTTTGCTGTATGATAAAATTGCTCTCCAGGTCCTGCAAAGTGGGATCCTGCAAATGAATGAGATGAGTTATTTGCTTGTGCTCTGGGTAGAAATTATGAATGAAAGTACTGAACAGAAGATCTATTTTGTGGTAATGAAGTGAAATCTTGAGCAGAACACACAGAAATACCAGATGTTATACTCAAGACAATCTCAGCACATGAATTTCTAGTCTAAGATTACGAGATCCCTTAAGAAAAGTCCAAAGTTCTTGAGCCTGGGTGACTTAAGATACACACCTAAATTCAGGTTTAGACCACTAAACCTCTTGCTCTGAGTCCAAGCCTGAAAACATTTGCTCAAAATCTCTCCCTGCTTTGGGGAAAATAAAAATGGAAATTGATGCCACCATTCCTACGTAACAGGGAGTTGGAGGCTTTAATTAATTGTTTGTCAACAACTTTGAGATGCTCAGATGAAAGGCGCTGCAGCAGTGCTAAGCAATGCATGATCAAATGTGGTCAAGTAGGATTTTGTTTCAATAGCTTTTAAGCACTCTACATAAAATCAGTTTGCTGCAGACATGGATTACACCAGTCCTGAAAACCAGGGCAGCGAGTTTTTGGTGAAAGACAGATGCAAAGTTCCCAACACCTACTTACTACTTGGATGATACAGTTTGTTAACAAATCTCACAAGGAACGAGGGGGAATGGTATGCACCCAGAAACTGCGTATATCTGAATTACCGTATCTCCTGAGTCAGTCTCTGCCAGCAGAGTTCATTCGTATCAGCTTCTTGAGCAATATAGAGAGATTTTACTTAGGTGGAACTTGCATTAAGCCAGAGATAAATCTCCTCCTGCTGTCACCTGTCACATAACTATGCTCACAGACAGATGATTTTGCAAGGGGGACAGTGCACGCTCCTGACATGTTCTGGGTTCAAACACAATCTCAGCCCGACACAAATCAACGCTCGAGAACAGCTCGTAGCCACGGCTTGCCAAATGGCATTACGCACCTGTTCTCTAATTAGCAGCAAAACATCCATTAAAATTCAAGCAGCATGGCCAAATCAGGGCTTCGGGTCAGGGGATTTTAACGCCTTTTGAAAGAGCCAACTTCCTGGTCATTTCAAAGGCAGCATAGCTGAAATAAGGGCGGTACCTACCTAAATTTCCCAGCCTATGCAAGCCACGGTCCCAGCTGCCTCCTCTTAAACAATCAGGGAAGAGCTGGACTATTTACAAGTGGCTTTGGCCACCGGTCTGGCCACCCCACCTCTGCTGTGAAAACAAACTGTAGTGCTCACCTCTTCGCTCAGGAGCAGGTTGTCATCCAGCTTGAAGGCTGTGCCAACACGTCTTCTGACCTGGGGAGGTTCCTCTCCAACGCTCAGAGGATACTCCTTGGGCATCTTGCCCGTCAGCTCCTGGGGAACAGAGAGGGCTCCACATGAAGGTCTGGATGGAGAGAAGGGCTCTCACCCGCCCCGACCCCAGTGTAAGGTGCACTTCTCACCGCCTCTCGCAGGCAGATTTTCTTCAGCTCCTCAACTTTCTGAAGCAGTTTTTCCTGAAGGAGTTTCTCTTTCTTCTTTAGTTCCATAATTTTCTCCTTCTTTTGTTCTTCACTGACCTCTGAATCCTGAGACCCTGAAAAATACACTCTCTGTTCTCAGAGGATTTGCAGGTAAAAGCCCTTTTTTTCCTGGTCAAGTAAGCTGAGATCTCCTGAAAGGAGTCCAGCCCAGCAAAACAACACATTATTCCAAGTGCAACATCCAGTGCTTGTGCCATCCAGCAAGCACGCTTTTAGGAAATCCACACTTTTTCAACCCCCCCAATGTATATACTTACACGACAAGTCCCGAGTATACACCCCAAAACCCCACCACCTCAAATATGAATCACTGCATTAGCAATATCTGCAGTATACTTCATATTTGGGCTCTGACTTGGTTTTTGAGACACTGAGGCTCCTCGCTTGGGCTTCACCTCCAGGCACCTGCACACGGCAGCCAGGCTGCGACCTTCCCCCCTCTTCCCCTCAGCCACAGTTGAGGGGACAGATCTAAAGTCTACTCCAGAGCTAAGCTTTATATTTGGAAGCATTTATCTTCTCTGCTCATTTCTGAGGAAACTCAGGGCAATTCAACTCCTAGAACAAGTGCTTAAACTTCACCTGGATCAAGTTTCCTTCAGACTTTGGTGAGACTTAGAGTCATTCAAGGACTGACTGGTAAACTGATAACATATTATCCACGGACCAAGAGTATATGGGTGCTTATCCATCTAGCATATTTTTATTTCCTTATTTAGTTATAGAGGGGGGGAAGCAGCAGGTTATACCCTTGATGTTATTGTTTCAGACACATGACTAATATACACCTTCACATATGTCACTGTATTTATGGTCAACTAGCCTCGTTTTCCCTTTTCACATACACAAGCCTCACTGTACTTCACTACCTCGCATTTACACGAAGTATTACCTGATGAGACCAAACTGCCGTTGCTGGCCATAATAAGCTGGTTCTTTGCTTCCAAAGTCACTAGCTTTGAAACTTTTGGTGTTCCCATCTCTGTCAGATCCATGGCGATATCATCCAAGCTTCTGGCTGAAGGAATTTTTGCCTGAAGCAGTTTAAAAAAAAAAAATTAAAAAAATAAAAAATCCAGCCTCATCAAGTTACCTCTAATTAACTTCAGGACATGGGGTCACAGAAGATGATGTTTCACACCTCATCTCCCACATAATTAAGGACTAAAGCAATAGGATCACGCAGGAGCTGTCGGTGCACAGGGACGTGCTGGAGTTCCTCTGTCCCCAAAGCCTGAACCATCTCCCAACCCAAAATCACTTTGCTGTTTGCACCATGTTCAAAATGAACATGAGAAGGACACAAAAGAAAAAGCAGATTAAACACTGAGACGTGGGAATTCCCTCTTCTGCGATTACGCTTCCATAGCCCTTAATTGCAGGCAGGCTAAAATGGATCGAATAACAATACTGTCGTTAATAGACTTCTCAAAAAGCTGACAAAAACAATTTGTAGCTTATCTCTGGAGAGTAGTTCATCCATGGAAAAACATACACTGAAGCACATCCAGGAAAGGTGTTGAAACTTATGCCCACAGTAAAACGCCTTATGACTTACTTTGCTTTGCTTTCTGTCCAAGTAAAACTGGTGTTGACTGATTGCCATCACCCAAATGGACTTGATCAGGGAAGTGTTTGCATACCAGGTTTGCACTACCAGTCCACTCTGACCAAAGGTCCTTCTCGACACTGAAATTCTAAGGAGATGAAAAGAAATGCAATTTCAAGACAGGTCTTTGAGGTTTAAAGTCCCAAGTGCTTCTCCCTTAACCAGGCAAGGCTCAGCCTTTTTTTTTTTTTTTAAAGAGATGTGAAAACTCCGATTTTCTTCTCCCCACCACCCCGTGCTACTGCCTTTCCTCCCTCCTAACTTTCCCTTAATTCTACAAAGCTAAAGTCCCTCCTGGTTGTGCTTTTCAACACGGAGCAGAAGCAACCGCTGTGCCTTTTAGTTCAGCAGTGTAATTGTGCTGCCGAGACCAACGGTGGGGTACGCTATAAACCTAGAAATGGCGAGCAGACTGCCACGGGGATCCTGAAAGGAGCCATCGGACAGGATGGGGGACCTGGGGGGGATCGGCAGAGCATCTCGCAGCTCCTCCTGGCCCAGCTGAGAGGCACAGCGGTCCTGTGCCAGAGGCAGAAAGGATGGCAGCAGGAGAAGCAGAAAGGAAGGTGGAGTCAGAAATTCACCCTGGGCAAAAAGCTCTTTCATCTTGGGAGGGATCTTGAGGGGAAGGCACAGCAAAGCAGCCTGCGGGTGAGCTCCCACCCCAACCGGCAGCGCTCCTCCGGGCCCCTGAAGGCTCAAGCTGAGAGGAGAGAGCATCGCTGCCAAGACAGGGGAGGGCAGAAGGTGAGCAAGAAAGTCACGTGGGCTGTGTTCCTGTGTCTCCTGCTGCACAGGCACGTTACAGCAGCCTCTCGGGGAAGGGTTTTGTAAAGTGAGCAAATTTGGCCATGACAAATAGTCACGGAATCACATAATGGTTTAGATTGGAAAGGACCTTGAAAATCATCTAGTTCCACCCCCCTGCCATGGGCAGGGACACCTCCCCCCAGCCCAGGTTGCTCCAAGCCCCGTCCAACCTGACCTTGAACACCCCCAGGGATGGGGCAGCCACAGCTTCTCGGGGCAACCTGCCCCAGGGGCTCACCACCCTCAGAGTGAAGAATTTCTTCCTAATATCTAATCTAAATATACCATCTTCCAGTTTGAAGCCATTCCCCCTCATCCTATCACTACATGCCCTTGTAAAAAGCACCTCCACAGCTCTCCTGTAGCCCCTTTAGGTACTGGAAGGGGCTATAAAGGCTCCCCAGAGCCTTCTCTTCTCCAGGCTGAACAACCCCAACTCTCTCAGCCTGTCCTCCCTCTGCTCCAAGAACTCCCTTGGTGGACATCACAGGCAATTCGAAAGAAGGACACCCAGAGCTGTAACACCTCAACAGTTGCTCCAGGTCACTTCCTATGGCTGTGACCTGCCCTCTGCAACATCGCAGCACTACTTGCTCATCACCCACCGCCCGGATCCAGCCCCGACCTGCCCTGCCAAACGCAGGATCAGGCTCAGTGTCGCACAGCCCAGAGTAAATTCGGGTTTGTGCTGAACTCGGAGGCACCTCCCATCCCCCTTCGCTAACACCACATGACAAATTCCCAGTCTGGCTAAAGACGCATCCCGCTGCCACAACCACCTCCCCTCCAGCCTTACCTGCGAGGATCATGTACTTCCACAGCAAATTTCTTTTCACGGAAATAGAGATTTTCCAGCTGTTTCCATTGAAATAGCTAGGAGAATTGGGAGAGAGAAGCGGAACACTGTCACCACAAGAATCACCAGTCTTCTCCCCGCAAGGTTACGTAATTTCAGCACATTACAATTCCTGTGTGTCTTCAGCTACGGCACAGACTCAGCAATAACAACATTCATAACATCAATTAAAAAAAATAAGCACATAAATATAAATGTATAGGACGCTCCTCAAGTAATTTCACACTCTTACAGACAATGCATTGCAGGTTGAGGATTTTGCCTGTGACAACACCTGTTTCCACCAATGGCACATTTAATTTCACTGCCACAAGTTCACAGAGATCTTGGGAAGGCAGTTAAGGTCCTTTTCTCTCTGATTAAATGCAAAAATCTCTACACAAAGTAATTGCATAGACACCTGTGGTCTCTTCCCTCAGAACATCCCCAGGGAATGGCAGCAGCTGGGGGAAAGCCAAGACCTTTCTCTTCTGAAGACACTGCGTGAGGGATTCAGCATGACATTTTGGAGCAGGGGAGCAACACATACAGAGAGAGAGCGAGCAGCTACCGGAGGAAGCCACCCCACAATGCACACTTCTGTAAGGAAACCACAGATTTCCTGCAAAATGCCAACTGGGAGAAGAGATCAAAGTCAACCGGGGCTTGGCAGCTGCACCCGTGGGATCAGAATTTCATCAGAATCTGCTCTCCCTTTGACCCAGCATTAGCCACTTGCTGGGGATGATCCATCAGGGGTTGCATCTTCTCAGCCCAGCTTTGGCCGAGCTGTTCCCCACCCCCCAGGTCCTGCAGCACCACCTCCTGCCCCCTCTCCAGCAGTGCCAAGGTGCCCAGGCGCACATGGAGACCCCTATGGCTGTCCCCAAGGATGTCACCTGAAGACGACAGGGTGCAGGAGTGCAGTAGCACAGGCTGTAGTTCACAGCCGGCTGCCTTCCTGGGGGCTAGAGCCCAGGCAGAGGTACTCGAGGTACTTCCACCCAGGCTGGGCAGGCAGAGCCAGCGTTAAGTCGGAGAGATTAGCTCGCAAAATCAGTGATCCAGCCAAAGCACTCAGGTCCATCATGACAAACCCCACAGCGACCCTCTCCCTCCCCACAGTCTATCAAAAGCCCTCCAAGGGCACAGCCACCACACCACAAGTCCCCCAGGACACGGGACATTCCCCCTGACCTCCTCCAAAAGCTGACCCGCCGCGCTCTGACGATGGAGGAACTTCATGTCTTGTAAAAAAAAAAAAATAAATCGCGTATTACACCATGCTGCATTTAAAACATTCTTAACAGGGATCGTAAATGGAACATAACCCAGTGCATGTGTTTGTGGGGAAAACTCTGTCTCTTTCAGCAACCTTTCACTATGTTTAGTTAAAGCTTTCTTTTTTAGTGCTACAATTTATTATTAGATCCGGTTATATGAAAAATGGAGCGAGGCGAGATGTCACTTACTTGAACTAATAAGTCTAAAAGACTGTGAAAGTTTTACTCTGCTGCTTAAGTTTATCTTTGTACTAAAGGCGCCCCGTCCGGTCACACAACTTTCAGAAGTGCCCTCTCTGTAACTTTTAAATAAATACATTTAAAAAAAAAATAAAAATCAAAGAGAACACAGCTTAACGCAGTGTGTCAGGGGGTTGAGCAATAGCACCCGTGGGTGCTCCGGCACGCAGGGATCCCCAGCACAGCGCCGGCGGCTCGGCCGCCCCCCTCATCCCCGCACTCACCTGCCCACAGCACCGTCCCCTTCTCCCCCGTCCCTCCGGAAAGCGTCAAGGGCGCCATGAGAAGAGCCAAGTGCGAGGCGGCTGTCGTGGTGGTGCCATCCCTCCCCGCTCCGCTTTCGCCGGCTTCGCCTCCCACTGCTGACACACGCCTGACATCACCCGCCTCTCCCGGCAGCGACGCCTCCCCGACCCACCCTCGGCCTCCGATAAAGGGAAAACTGAGCCCAGGAGGGAAGAGGAGAGGGTTTCTAACGAGGGGCTGCACCCCTTAGGAGCATCCCGAGTCACGGTGGGGGGCTGAGGGGGGAGCAAGCCTGGCCAAGGGGCTGCAGAAGGTGACTCTGGCCAAGTCCCGGCCCTGCCGCCATGGGCTCACGCCCGACAGCCAACAGGTTGGACGAGAAGCATGGGACTC